AAAATCTCGATGGATATTATGGGTCCGCTACCCTGAAAACCCCGGGTAGGAAACACGTATATTTTAACCATACAGGATCTCCTAACTAAATATTCCCTTGCCCTGCCATTAAAACAAGCGACTGCAATTGATATTGCTAACGCATTTGTAAATGATTTTATCTGTATTTATGGCGCTCCTAAGGCAACCCTTACCGACCAAGGCTCCAACTTTTTAAGCGCCCTTATGCGTGCCGTCGCTCGTAAGTTTCGAATAACGCAATTTAAAACCACCGCATACCATCCGCAATCAAACGGCTCTATCGAGAGAAGCCATCACGTGCTCTGGGAGTATCTCAAACAATACGTAGATAGGAATCACGAGTGGGACGAATACCTAAGATTAGCGACCTTCTCATACAATACTAGCGTGCATGAAGGCACAAAATTCGCGCCATACGAGCTGGTATTCGGAAAGATGGCCAGAATCCCAGCCAGTGATCCGACTCTGCCGGATGATATTAGCGAGACTTACGCCAATTACCTGACCTCATTATTCAACCGACTTCGAGACTCCCAGGAAATAGCCAAGGAAAATTTGACGCGCGCGAAATTAAGATCTAAACACTATTATGACAAAAAAGTAAACCCCCAAGCGTTTAAGTCAGGCGATCAGGTTTATTTATTAAAAGAACCTATGAAAGGAAAACTCGCGGACCAATATACAGGGCCCCACGAGATTTTGGAAATTCTAGATAAGAATAATGTTAGATTAGCGATAAGTAGCGATAGAACTAGGATAGTACACCAAAACAAACTCAAGAAGCTGCGCCACATCGGAGAACGGGAAACGCACCCGCCTGCAAAAGGTGCCCCCCACCCTGGGCCCAGCCAGCGCGACTGACAAAAAAAAAAAACGCAAGCACGTCAGTCTGCCGCTCGACACGTTTCAGGATGAACCCATCGACCGTCGTCGTCCTCTTCCTTGGACTCCTGGTGCTTATACCACCAGCACGCTGCCTGGTGGGCTACGATTGCGGAGGGCATGGCCTCAACATCACCTCACTATCTCTCCTAGACATCGGGAACTGCGAACTGGAAGATATTGAGCCAGTCACAAAGAACGTTTACATCCAGCTTCTTCAACTCTCAGACTTCGACAAGACCCGGGTAATCCAGTGCAAGGTAGAGGTGGACCGCACTATATATTATTGCGGGATGCACTCTCACGTGTCGATAGTCCACAACGGGAGAAGAGTTTACCTACAAGAAATGACAGATAGTAACTGCAGGAAGATTCACGAAACAGGGACCATTTACCTCGGCAACAGAGATGGCTATATCACGGGTTTGAAACCAAACAGTACCTCCGTCCGGGGCATTACCCTCGCCGGATCTACCTCAGTGGACGGACGTTGTACAGGAACTCAATATAGCGATCCTTATGGAACATGGGATAACGTAATCGTGCAGGCATCAATCAAGATAACCATGCGGAATTTCGAGGCTCCATTGCGTCATAGTGCAGACGAAATTATCCTGCCTTCGGGCGTGCATTGCAAAGTTGCTGCCGGACAGTGCCTGGATGCTGATGGCGAAGAGACTTTCTGGTCATCCGTGCCTACCGACAATTGCAATTTCGATCACTATGATATCCTATACGAAGGCCAGGCAAACAAGTTAATACCTAAGAATAATCAAACCTCGCCCATCATTTACACGGTCACCACGCAAGAGACTACCTTCGCTCTCACCAAGACAGCTGAAATGGGCCTCTGCGGATATACGCTGACGAAGACCGAGCACCCCAAACTCTTCATCCTGGAAACACACCGCGACCGCACTTTCAAAATACGATCGAAAATCTCCGTAGATAATTTGGATATTTTCGCTTACGTCAACTCCAAGTTTGTTTACGTTGAAAAACACATCAAGACGCAACTCACACGTTTATATCGAGACATTATGGAGCAGAAGTGCGCTCTTGAAAAACAGATCCTTCAAAACGCACTCACTCTGTCTAGCATCGCACCCGACGAGATGGCATATCGCATCATGAAAGCTCCCGGATACACAGCCGTGGTAGCTGGAGAAGCCATTCACCTCATCCGATGCGTCCCAGTGGAATGTAAAATCCGCCAGACAGAGGGATGTTTTACCGAGCTACCTGTAACTCATGGAAATAAGTCAGCATTTCTCCTACCAGGATCAAGAATATTAACGCAAGCAGGAACGCCGAAGGAATGCAGTGAACTGCTTCCGGCCATGTACAAAATCCATGGAACATGGTTTCGCCTCATGCCGCGTGCAGTGGAATCGGTGCCGTTACCTACCATTCAGCCGCTGACGCGCCCAACCTGGAAATACGTCAGCCCTCTAGCGCTCGCAACCAGCGGCATATACTCGGACGAGGATCTAGACCGTCTCCGAAACCACATAATGTTTCCTGTGGAAAAGCCACAAATGCTGAATACATTGGCCCGCGGAGCGATGGGCCAGGACATTCCCCCAGGGAGCGTCTCGATGCTGAACCTCCTCGACGAAAAATCTTTGGAAAAAATTGCCGAAAGCGCAGGAGCGCGCCTCTGGCAAGGATTCATAACGTTCGGCTCTGCAAGTGCCGGAGTCCTGGCGATCTTCATATTGATACGCCTAATCAAGCTAATTGTGGACACCATCATCCGCGGTTACGCCCTTCACTCCGCTTATGGATGGAGCCTACACCTCCTCGGGGCAATTTGGAGCTCCGTTGCACATCTGTTACTTCACTTGGCCGGGCCTAGCAGGAGAACCTCTCCACGGAGACAACAGGACGAAGAAACTCTCATCTCGACCACATCAGATCCCCGCCATAAGACCCGTCCTTCGTCTGAAGATCAGCCCTCCACGTCCACAGCGACAGCGCCCAGAGAAAACGTGAGCGAACGTCCCAAGCCCATATATTATAGTGACCTCCGTATTCTGTCAAACGACGGTGAACAGTAAGTTATAAGGGTAATGAACTAATAATTACGGCCAATACTTGAATCTTATAATAACGTAATTAATGAATAAGATCAATAATCACATTTGTAGTAGCACGGTTAATGAATAGGATTATAGCTATAAAAGCGTTAACAATTAAAACTCATGATAATACATTGAATAATAGTAAGCGTTTTACAATAGCCATAGATGCTAGACATAACCTCACCATGATTTAACCTAAATAATTTTGACATTGCCAAGATAGGAAGCGCCGGAAAATATCTCGGCGATACAATCACTGGAGCAGCGTCTGTGTACGCCGGGAATAATACTGATACATTTTAATGTCGAATTAACATTTTAATTGCAGATACGTAGCAAACTCAAATAATCAGATAAAACGTCGGACACGGTCCCACGTTTTACTTTTAGGGGGGGAGGTGTCACGTCCGTATAGAATTCCCCACCGAAAACCACTGCACTGTTTCCCCTAGCTAGAAGAGAGGCTGGCGTGCCTGGCGTCTCCCCCACTCAGGCAGTTCTTTTGGCGCGCGAGCCAAAATAGTCAGTCGAGTTGCGAACCGCGAACCGGACACTAA